CACACCAAACGTGTTTGGACGTTTTTAAACAAAACAAGAGAATGAGAGAATATAAATGCTAGTATAATGCAAGCCTTTTTTCCAACCTCTTCTTTCTCAACCACAAGGCTCCCTTGCTTCTTGGCAATCCTTGGCATCCCTGGCTTATAGTCGCTTCACTCCATTCTCCATGGTCACATGGACTTTTTACCCCTGTGTGTGTCCAGGTGTCTCCAAGTCTCTCTGTCCTTATACACATACCAGTCATTGGATTTAAGGCCCACTCTAATCCATTATGACCTTAGTTTAACTCGGTTACATCTATCAAGACCTTATTTCTAAACACAGCTGCATTCATAGGTACCCGGAGTTAGGATTTCAACATGTCTTTGAGGGGGCAAGTTAACCGCACAGCAGCAGCATTTTGGAGTGTATGCTTGCTTCATGGGTATGTAGGGAAGAACCATTTGGGAGATGCATTTGTGCCCATGTACCTGGTGCCTAATGTAGACCCTGGACTGTGTGTGGTCATCACTATACCCCCCACCCCCTTGTTGTGAATGTAATTTTCATTCCTTTTCCTCTGGAAGTTGCTTTCTTGTTTTTCTGTCCTTGATATTTCTGCTATAATGGAATATCCCACCTGGAAGAGATCATACTTTCTCACAGCCAACAAGAGGCTCCCCAGGGTTCTGGAAACAACACGAAGCCAGTTTTTGGCAAAAATGAAAACACTTGAGGACCCTGGGTAGTGAGAGACGTTGCTGGCACTGGCTGAGGCGTGGAGTGCAGATTCACTAGGAGTGGTCTGTGGCATTCGGCCGCCTGTGGAGGTCCTCGTCTTGTGGCTGTTCTGAACACTTCAGTATCACATGAGTTCAGGAAGCATTGTGGTCTGAAGCCACAAGATCCTCCTACCAGAAGCACTTTCCCGAGGGCATGGAAATAAAGCTACATGAAAAAAAAAAAAAACAAAGACAGTGTTCCAGCAGAAGAGTATTCCCAATAATTCCTGGAAGTTTTGGGAAACACTGTGCCTCCAGACACAGCTTTGCCCGCAAGGACTGTGGCCCTGCGGAGCTTCTTCCTTTTCAGTGTGTTTCTTCTGGCAGACGTTATGTGGAGATGTGACCTTTAATTCCTGAAGTTAATGCCTCCTTTGAAGTCAGTCTCGTGTAATGCTTTCTGAACATCTTAACTCCAAGTAAAGTGCTACATGTCACAAACGGGGAAATTATGTGGGTTTTTTGTGTGCTATTTGAATATCAAAGAAGGTAGCTTCAGTGGTTGAAGAGAAAGACATGGAAGTAGTTGGTTTCTGAAGCCCGGCAGAGATGGTGTTTAGTTGATAGGTCATTTTTGACCACCCCCATGGGATTTAATTCTTAAATAACAGGCAGTCCTGGAAGGCAAGCAAGTCTGAATTTTTGGGGGGACACTTCTATTATAAAGGACATTTCTCCCAATACTTATAAGGAGCAAAGCTGCAAATTCACAGGAACCCTCCAGATTCTAAATATAATGATTGGTCAGCTCGTCCCGTGGTGAGAGTCACACTGCTTGAAGTTGCTAGCGTGCAAAACAGAAGACTGCAAAGTGCCACTTGCTGATACGTGCCAGCTCTGGCCAAGGCCTGCGTTCCCTCCCAGATGCCAGAACTACTTCAGGAAACACAGGAGATGTGTTCTTTGGTGTGCCATCTGCAAACCTCTCACAGAGCTGCCCTGTGAATCTCTGCCGTGATTTTCTCCTCTGGCCTCTGCAGGAAGGGGGAGTCCATCAGATGGTTATACTTGAAAATGGAAGAGAAGGACCCCAAATGTGCTGTTCCTTACGTCCTCCTTCTTTCCAGCTGCCTGAGGCTGGCCAACCAGAGACGTTCCAGTCTTCCTGGAATTGTGAAACAGTCCGTAGTTGCTAAACGTGACCTATGCAGACAAGTAGCATGTTTTCTGAGTGAGATCCATGTTGTCAGCCTCTCCTAGACCAAGAGTGAGGACCACCCAGAGTGAGCACTCATTTAGTAGAACAACTCAGCCCATGTACTAATGAGCACCTTGTGGTTGAGAAAGAAGACGTGGAAAGAAGGCTTGCATTGTACTGGCATTTATATTCTCTCAGTCTCTTGTTTGCTTTAAAAATGCCCAAACACGTTTGACGTGTGGGAAGAAAGGACGCATGAGCACTGAGTAATGACGACATGCAGGAATGGCAGGCCAGTTACACATACCTTCTTCGGGGCTGCAGAAGACATTGACATGACAAGGAGTAGTTCCAGACTTTTCTTCTGGGTGGATAGCAAGGAGGGGTGGCGGGGGTTTGGCAAACCTCTGTCCTTCCATCTGGAGAGGGGCCCACGTTGAGCAGAGCTGGAGTATGGACCCTTCCATGGCTCTAGCAGCTCTAACTTCATGCTGACCCCTCCGGGTGCTGGGCTTGGTGACCTGTGAGCCAGGCTAGAAGGCTACCTGAGAATACCTGGGTGGTACCAAGAAGCCTAGGTATTCAGTCAAGCTTGTAGGAGCAGATTTTTCTAGTAAGTCTTAGAAGAGAGCACTCCCAGTGGTAAAGAGTTCAAGTTCAAAGCTGTGGTCCACCACACCTGCTGGTACATCACCTTTGGCACATCACTTACTCAGGCCTCACCAGGTAAAGCATTTGGAATCTGACACGTGATCGATACTTAATAAATATTAACTATTATTCTGTCTGCTTAAGTAAATCTAGGTGGGTATTGCGAGGTTAGTTCTGTTACCAGGCTGTGTGTGTGAGCATCCTGGAACGTGGCTGGTGTGCAGCAGGGTGTGGTCATGATTTATTTTTTCTGCGACCCTTTTGGCCTTAATGGCCTACTCTGCACTTGACACTAAGGTCCTTGCTGCAGTGACCAGCATTAGGGCCTGTGGTGTCTGATGGGAAATGTCACCCTTCGACTCCTCCTCACACCTGTGGTATCACTGTCATCAGGCCATGTGTGTGGTTCTCAGCTGTCCTGGAAGCTAGCCTTCTATGTCTTTGCAGGCTGGGTACAGAGCACAGAGTTCTGGGGAGATTCTGACTCTAGGTACTGTGCTGGTAAAGCATAACTTCAACCCCAGGGGCTGGTCCCCACTAAAAGTAGTGCCTGTTGACTGTGTATTGCTTGCCAGGCAAGCTCTGACAGTTCTTCCAACATGGGCTCAGTTATTCTTACAGTGTTCCAGTGAGAAAGTTACTATCATACCCCATTTTAGATGGGGAAACTGAGGCTCAAAAGAGTTAGTAAGCTGCCTGTGGTTAAACTAAGGTGACACTGCTGGCGTTTGAAGTTGAAAGTGTTGCCTTGGTGCTGTTAACCATGTGGGGTTCACAGACAGCTGCAGCCCTCCCATCGTCCACTTGACCAGACTCTGTGCTTCTCTGAAGCCCAGCCTGTATTTCAGTGACACCTAATGGACAGCACTGGAGCGGCCACCATTCACTAAGCCCTTGGCCTCACCCCCTAGAAGAGGAGGGAGGCAAATGAGTAGCAGCACTGACCACAGACAGCAGTGAACTTCTGGACATGTGAATAGGGAGAGGAGGCTACTGTCCAGGGAGTGAATGACTCAGTGAAGGAGGAGGAAACACTCTCTGGCGGGGGTGACTTCCGAGCTAGGCTTTGAAGACTACATAGAAGTTCACCACGTGTTATTTAGGTGGCATAACAGGAAGAATAGCCTGCGATGGACCCACATATAAAGCAGCAGGATGATTCTTTTTTTCCTTTTACTAAAAAAAAAAGGATAAATGGAACTTGATTTAAATTTAAAGCTTTCATTCTACAAAGACTATGGTGAATTGAATGAAAAGAAAGACACCAGAATGAGAGAGAATATTTTCAAATCATAAACCTGATAAAGGACTATGAATATATGAAGAACTCTTTAAAATCAACAAGAAGAAAACCAGTGACCCCAAAATTGACACCAAATTTTATCCGGATTATTTTTAAAAGGAGGGGCACTGCAAGGACTTTGGTGTGAATGAATGATAAGGCACGGGAGTGGAGCATGGGGAGAAGGGTTCTGCGTGTTGAGACTCTGGCAAGGAAGACGAGACGCAGGACCTGGCTAACCAGGCCAGGAGTGTGAGCAGTTCGTGTCATTGTTCTAACACAAGGTTAACATCCCCAAACCTGGATGCATTTGGTCGTACTGTTTTTCCTGGTTTTATTATTACCGTTGTTGAAGGAAATTTTTCAAAAGCACATCTGCTCCGTAAATGATGTGTATTGATTTTATGCTAAAAAGAATGTTTTTTTAATCTCTTCCACTTATTTTTCCTTTTTTTTTTTTTTTTTCATTTGCAATTCCCTTTGGCAAAAGTTATTCTCAGATGCCAGGATAAGTACTTTGGGGGGCTATTGTTTTTGTTTTTTAATGTTTTCTTAAGTGGCTTTTGATTGCATAAGAGCATCGTGTAGAACTGTTTCCAGTAGTATCTTTATAGCAGGAATTTTTTTTAGGAATGGAGCCTCAGACTGATTATGTAATTGTTCCCTTAATCTATTCTCAGAACCTAGCATGTTGCCAGCATATAAAAAAACCTAATGATCGTAATGGCATCTGAGTGTCTCTCCTGTTCATGGTTTCTGGCGCTATTGCTCTTGCATTGTTCACTGCAGAATAGGAATCAGCGGTTCCAATGTGGCATGACTGTTCACCCAGCACCAGCCACCCCAGACTCAGCTCTGTCTGCTCTGTCCTGCGTGTGCAGCCCCCAGCCAGCAACTCTGGCCTGAGAAAGGACTCACGTGTACTTATTAGCGACCCTCGCCAGTGTCTCGTGTTAACATTTGGATGAGGAGAGGCGGCATATACTTCTGCTGCGCTGAGGTTGCATTTTGCAAGGAGAGCAGAATACCATCTGTCGGAGGAGGTGGCGGGAGTGTGCAAATACTGCTGTGAATTCCATGAATGCTTAATTGCTATAGAATTTTTTTTTAATTTGAGTCTTTGCATTTAGTTTGTTTGTTGTTTGTTCTTTTTTTTATTTTTTAGAATAGTCCTTATCAGTGGCAGAAGATCCTTCTGTAGTATATTTTCAGTGCTGCCGTATCGCGACAGTACCCAAGTCGGGTATGTATATGCATGCATGCTTTGTAGTTCTCTGGGTGAAAAGTTCTGACATCGATGTGCATGGTGTGGCTACCTTTTCGCGTTCTAAGATCTTGCCTTGCTTTGACACTGCAAACTCAGTATTTGCAAATTTGAAAGAAAAACATGTTCTTTTTTTCTTCAGCCAGAAAGCTTCCTTGTTTCCGTTGTGTATGTGTATGTGTGTGTGTATATGTACACCCATCATATTGCCTGTGTTTTGTTGCCACTTCCAGTACTATAAAGCAAGAGCAATACAAGGCCCTCCATATTCTACAGGGTCATACTGACTTTGGAAAAAGGTAGGTCAGGAAAGGAGCTAGTCCCAAACCTGTGACCATCCTACCTCCTTGCATTTTGGGCTTGGGTTGGAAGCTGACCAGCAAGCTGGGGCTCCCACTGCAGGGCAAATATCAAAGCAGAGTGGTATGATTAGCTATGGACAAGAGGAATGCTCTCTTCTCTAGATCAACAACCCCCTCCTTTTACTCTGGAAAAAAAGTAAGTAACCAAGGGTCTGTTCTTGCCAAGCCTTCTCTCCTCTTCGCCATCCCTAAACCTGTGTTACTATTCCCTCCAGTGCAGCTAAATGCACATGCTTCCATCCTTTCGTTCCTGTATCTGTGTCCGTCATCAGGGTACTACTGATATCGAGGGCAGGACTGTTCCCTGTGTAGGATGTCAGGAGTATTGAGAGATGGTGACTTTCACCTCGGGTCATTGTGACTACCAAACATTACTGACTTGGGACCACAGCCCCCGAGGAGGGCCATGGCCCTTGGTGCTAACTCACCATTTCTTCCCTCACCACAGCCATGAACTCTACTCAGGCATTCGTGCTGCCATGGCCTTCCCTCTCCCTTGTGGACCTGTCAGGTTTAGGTCTGTCCAATTCACTGTGGTCCTTATCTATACTCTGTGCTCTAAGCTGCAGGGACAGAAGGCCACACATCTTTATTTGTAGAATCCCGACTCAGTCATTGATTAGATGTGTGCTTTGCAGGTCAACAATAATCCTACTCTTCATTGAGCATGGACCTTGTGCTGGTCTTTTTCATTGTCTGCATCCTTACAGCGCCTTGCAGAGCAGGTGTTCTAGCAAAGGTAACAGTGGATCCCACAGCTCAGACGTTTGAGGATGACCTGAAGGGTGGCCAGTAAGCCACCCTGAAGAGATAGCTTGGGGGATGCTTTCATCACCTGAGGAACCTGCATCATTCCTTGGGGAAACCAATTCAGATTGACTCAGACCTGATGAGTGATCCCAGAAGGTCAGTTCACTAATCTTCCTGCAGGCAGTGGCCCTGGGGCCCGGAGTATTCCATTGTGACTAACCCGCGTACACATCTCCTGGGGCTCTGTATCATCAGAGAGTTCTTGGCCAGCATGTCCTCTCACTAGGTCTGGACTGGCAGTGCTACCCTCATTTCTCTGGCTTCCTTGCTGACCTTTCTGATTCCCACATCTTTTTTCCTTAGCTGTATCTCCTTTCTTCAAGATCTTACTGTGTGACCAGAAACCGGAGATGAAAGTAGTGAAGGGTGGACCTTGGCCTTGGCCACTAAACTTACAGCCCAGGTGGGAAGACACAAGAAATTACACACATGATTAATTAGGACTTTTAGTAAATAGTAAAGATAGCCAGTCAAGTGGCTGCCTAGGCTTCCTGGCTTCTATTTCTTTAAGACATTTTGATCTCATCACACACCTGTCTTTGAAGTGTTTCTGTTTCTTTCATTCTCAAAGGGTGACTTTATTTCCAAATGTTGGAGTCTCCTCACTGTGGTACTTTCTTCATTTTATATAGAAGATTTGTGATGTTTAAGAGTTAAGGTCTCAAACATCAACTTTGGCCTGGAATGAGGAATTTGAATCCCATTCTGTCCAGCCACCCATTTTTCCATAACCTATCCTCATGGGTGGGCAAGACAAATCCATTTTCATGAAAACCTTCCTGTGATTAAAGCACTGTTATGATATCTGTGTCCCAGATGGTAATCTAGGCTCACAGAAAGGCTGAGTACTGTTTCCCGCCATGACACTTGGCACACAGGAAGGTAGGGCCAGCTGGTCAAGGACTTCCTATTTCTGATAGCAACGGAGGGAGTCAATGTTGAGAACTTAAGAGTTTTTCACTTGGGCAAGTCACTTGCCTTCTGTGAGGTTCATTTGTTCTCTCTAGAATGGGGTAGGTAAGTTAACCATGCATCTTTAATTTGAAGATTATAGCTTTTTTGTTTATTTGCTTATTTGCTAAACTGTGCAGTGCAGTCACTACAGAGAGTGAGCTGGCTAGAGTACAACATTTTCTACGAAACCAATAGGAGAACCTTTGGGGTCAAACTCTTAAGGCAGCAGTTAAGGGCCATGCATAGGGAGCTTGATCCCACATGACCAACAGCAGTTCAAATCACAGCCCTGACAGCTTACAAAACACTCTGGCCATGTGTGTATACATGCCCCAAATCCCATCAGGATGGAAAAATGGAGAAGGGATTGTGGTGTAACCACAACTACTGGGGAGTGTTTTCTCTCTCTTTCTGGCGAATGCACACACTCTTTGGCAATTAAAAACAAAATAGGGACAAGTTTTAGCTTGAATTACCTAGAAGGAGATCACCCACTGTCTCCATTGGACATCCTTGTGGATATATGTGGGCCTCCACATTTTAAACGCCTCAAGGCAGCGCTCGCTGGCAACCAGCTGGCTCCCAGGAATGGTATCTGTCTGTGCTCATCTCTTTCCTTCTGCTGCTGCAAAGGCCTCACCTGTAGTAGGTTTGGCTGCCCTGCCTGTTGGCCCTGGATACAGAAGCAAAATGAACATGTGGGCTCATAGGTCATAATATATTCTGTCTTAGATGTGAGCAGTGCAAACCTACCACTCATCTAGACTTTATAGACAAGGAAACCAAGACACAGAAGCGTCAGTTTTCTATAACAAAAACCATACTTGCCTCCCTGTTTCCTAACAGAGAAAGGAACGCGCTCATTTCTGCAGCATATCCTGCCTGAGTACTCACATAAGGAATCTGTGAGCACAGTTCACAGTACTGTAATTTAACAGCAGGATTGTTTACCAATAATACCCCATTTACCATAATTTGATTTTTTTTTCTTTTTTTGGAGAGGTTTTCACTATAGAGCACTTGCGCTCACCAGAAAGACAGAGAGAAACAGACAAAAAGCAAGAAATCACCCCCCAGGGGGGTTGGCCACGCTGCAATCCCTTCTCCTCCATTTTCCTCTCTGCATCTTGGGTCCACATGCACACATGTCCGGCGGCAGTTTAAGCCACCGGGTCCAAGACTCAAACCGTGGTTGACTACATGGGAGTCCAGCAACATAGCCATTACGCTAACTGCTGGTCCCCATAATTATGATATTTTTTCACTATTGGGAAACAAGTGCTCAAGTGAAAATATTTGTACTACTATGTACAAACAAGTAAATTTTCCTAGTAAATATACTAGTAAATACTATGTCTATATATCTTAATCTGGTTTAGCTCCTGTACATAGTAAAGAATATTTGGAATGTTCATGGAAAATGCATATTATGAGAGAATTGGATTTCGGAATATTTTGCACCAAAACAAACTTTTAAAAAATACATTTTTTTTTTAATTTGATGAGAGAAAGAGAGAGAAAGATAAAGTGAGAGAGCAAGCTGCCAGGTCTGAGACTCAACCATGGTCAGACATGTGGGATTCCTGCACTTTAACCATGCCACCTGCTGGCCCCTCAAAGCAAACTTTAATTGCACTCTCTCCACAAACTTTTTGAAGTCTACTCATATTAACTTATGCCTTTACACTGTGGAAAATACCTTTACTTAACACTGAAGTTCTTTCTAAGACTAGGAAATAAGTCATAGAATTTCAGGTGGAAAGACCTTCAGTGATCACATACTTTGATCTTCCTGCTTCATGGCTAAGAAAGCTGGAGGTGGCAGGTGATGAAGCTCACTGGGAACCTCCTGCTCTGCAGAACCAGCCGCACTAGAACTCAGGCCTCTGGGTCACCTGTCTGCTGACTGGTTTCTAGCTCCTGTGTTTCTGTGGTACTTATGTATGTGGACAAGACCACCTGTGCCTAAGGGTCTAAACAAGCACAAACCTCCCTGATGAGGGGGACAATGTACAGTTCAACTCCATCACAAGAAGGCTCTCAGAACAGGAAACTCCCAAGTTTGTCTGCCATGTACTTGAGCCTCCTTTACATGTACAGCAGCAGTCAGGTTGGTCTTATCTTCCTGGGTTTGTTTTCTGGCTTCTGCCATAATAAACTTTAATTATTATATTAATTTTACTTGTTATTTTTAAATTTGACCAGAAAGAGAAAGGGAAAATGAGAAAGCAAACCACTGGGTCCAGGGCTCAAACAGTAGTCAGCCATGTGGGAGTCCAGCCCCTTAACCACTATGCCACCTGCCAGCCCATTTGTTTTTGGTTTTAACCTGAAGTGTACACTGACTTTGCCCGCCCCCCGCCTCCCCAGTGTGAATTGACCAAAGCAGATAGGCCAGTCTTAGGAGAGATCACCATCCATCCATCCTTTCATTCGTTCATGCAGTTAGGTCATGAGTTTTGCCTCCAGTAAACAGGAGACCCTGATGTAAGATGGAGATACAGGGTTGAATAACCATGCCAACCCAAGAGAATTAGAGACCCTGAAAGACATTGGAGAGCATGTTAACTCCCCTCAAATCTTTATCGACACCCACATTTATGTTAAATCTACCACCTGCAGTAAGAGCAAAGTGTTTGCCGTGAAGAGTCTTAATCTCAACCCCACCAGTCCAAGTACATTGCCATCCCTATATACTGCCTGTGTAGAAATGAGGTGCAACCATGGCACAGCCCAATTCACTTGGCCACCCGTAATCTATTGAGCACTGACTCCATGCCAGGTACTCTTTAAGACAGTGGGAAAAGGATGAATACAAAAATGTCTCTCTCTCCTGCTCTCTAAGTGTGGGAG